CCACCAGCATTTTAAAGCCCCTTAGGATTCCGAGAATTCTGTTTTTGCCCCAAGAATGCTGCTCAGAGCCATATCTATGAGCAGCATCATAGATAAAGAGAATCAAGATCACAGGAATCCCATGGAGCAAACAGGAAAGGTGAAGAATGACAATGGTACATGTACCTAAAGGAGACAATAATCATTTTTAAAAATCAGAATGAATGTGAAATATCAACTGAAAGCAGATATTGGTGCAGAAAAGGCTCTATCAGTGGGAAAGAAATGCAAGAAAGCTTGCAGGCCAAGGTAGCGAGTGCTGCTTAGGGGGTTCATGTGCTACTTATCTATTAAGCTAAATGTTCAGCACATAGCAATTCCTTTTGAATATTCTATTTTTTTAAGGCACCCCAAAGTCTTTTTTAAAAATTAGGATCAAGTATAGAACGATATAGGTGTTCTGGAGAGCAGAATTTAGAGAAATGAATACCTGCATAACTATGGCCCAACAATCCCACTTCTGGGCATATATTTCAGAGAAACATGTGCACAGGATGAGAATGTTCATCTAAGCATTAGTTGTGGTAGCAGAGTCAGAGGTAACCTAGGTGTCCATTTCTAGGGAAATGTGGAGGGTGGTATCTACTATACAATAAATACTCTGCAATAGTATAGTAGTAAGTAAAATAAACATATAGAGATGGTTGCTTAAAAATAGTGTAGAGTGAAAGAACGAGACAGAATGAGATTATAGCATAATACCACTTATATAAATGTGTAACCGATCTGAAAAAGAGTTTGTCCCTCCTGGTATACAGAAGAACCAAACATTGAGCACCGAGTTTTGCAGTGGAGAAATTAGAGTCGCTTTATTTGCAGAGCACTAAGCAAAAACAGCAAGCTGTGTCGCTTAAAAACCTGAACTCTCCAATAGCTTACAACCCAAGGGTTTCAAGGAGTTAGGGAGAAGAGGTATGGGAAAGAGCTGGTGGGGCAAGTTTTAATGGAAGGAACTTGGAATTTGCTATTTATGGTAAGAGACTTCAGCACCGGATCTTTCTGGACAACAGACCTCTTGTTTCTGAGAGGGTTCCAGTGTTCAAATTCCCATCATATCCCAATCCTTTGATTCTGTGAAGTGGGGGAAGTGAGACTTTGACTCTGGGTTCAGCTGAGTAGCACATGTGCAGTGTTAACTCTGTAAAAATAACTCAAGGATTGTATTAATCAATGATCTGCTTTAAAGGGGCAGGACCAGTTTTAAGCTGGTCAATGTGATTCATGTGCTGTTTCAATAGTAAAATATGTGCATTTACAAAACAACAGCAATATAAACAAAAACAAGGACTTATACCAAAACTATGAGAATTGTTTCTCTATGGTTGGGTGAGTAACTTGAATTTTTAATGAATTTATAATATTGCATTAAGGAAATATAGGTTGTATGCATGTTCCTCTCTCATTTCTAATCCCTAGCATCTCTATAGATTCAATTTCTGTTACTACTTTCTTGTATATTTTACATTTCCAGATATTTCTACACATATAAATGGGTGAGTGTAAATGGTGTATGTGTGTGTGTGCATGCATGCGAGTCTGTGTGTGTGTGTGGTGCCTTTCTTCTCTCTTCCCTTAAATGGTAGCATACTAACTAAACTTTTCTTCCTTGCTTTATTTTCTTACTTAAAATATATCATGAAGATCATTATTACTACATGCCATCTGTCTTATTATTTTTTAAATTATGGTAAAATACATATAACATAAAATTTTCCACCTTAACCATTTTTAAGTGTGCCATTCAATAGTGTTAAGTTTATTCACATTGTTGTACAAACAACCTTCAGAACTTTTTTATCTTACAAAACTAAAATGCTATACTCATCAGTCAGTAACTGCCCACTTCTCTCTCCCCCAATCTCTGGCAGCTATCATTCTATTTTCTATTTCTATAAATTTGACTACTTTAGGTACTGCATACAAGTGAAATCATATAATATTTGTCTTTTTCGAATGGCTTATTTTGCTTAGCATAATATCCTCAGAGTTCATCCATGTTGTGTCATGTGTCAGTATTTCCTTCCTTTTTAATAGCTGAATAGTTCATTGTGAGTTTATACAGGTTTCCCCCAAAACTTGAAAGTAGAGTGGTCTTATGAAATCTTTTGTAAGCCAAAATAGCAGAAAGTGAGGAAGCAATTAGCATTAATTTATATCGAAAAACTTTTGAGCATTCCCAGACCCAAAAAACGATCTACCAAGTCATACTAAATACACTTAATTTTGTCCAGTTTTACACTAAGCATAATACCTTATGAGCTCTCTTAGACTTTTCTGATACATTATGACACATCTTGCTAATGGATCCACAGAATAAATGGAGATAAAGCACAAATGCTCACAGACACAGTTCAGAGCTATGGAGTTTGATGCTGAGTTTCGGAGTGTAGTTCCAAATTTTGATTTTTGCCTTTTTTCACAAAACAAAAATCCTCTTCGGATTTCTTTCGGTTAGCGAAAACAGGTACTAATGTAGGTCTTTCGTAAAGGTGAGGTGGCCTAACATGAATTTTTGAAAAGTGAGGATACCTGTACTACATTTTGTTTATTCATTCATCCTTCAGCGGACACTTGGGTAGTTTCCACCTTCTGGCTATTGTGAATAATGCTGCTGTAAACACGAGTGTACAAATATCTTTTCAAGGTCCTGCTTTCAATTCCTTTGGAATCCCAGAAGTGGGATTGCTGGATCATGATAATTATTAATCTTCTGAGGAATTGCCAAACTGTTTTCCACTGTGGCTGCACCATTTTACATTCCCACCAACAGTGCACAAGGGTTCCATTTTATCCGCATCCCTGCCAACACTTGTTGATAGTAGCCATCCTAATAGGTATTTTATTGTGGTTTTGATTTGCAGTTCCCTAATGATTACTGAGTGATGCTGAGTACCTTTTCATATGCTTGTTGACTATTCTTATTTTTTAACATCTGTATAGTATTATATTTAGAAACCATAATTTGTTTCATTAATGTCCTGGTTAAATAAACTTTCTCAGTTTATTTAAAAACAAAACTGCAACGATTCTCTTTTTACATTCCTTTGTTTCTATTTTAAAAACTTTTTCATTACGGAATTTTAAATATGCACTAATGTAGACAAACTAATATAAAGAACTCCATGTACCTATGAGCCAGCTTCAACAATTATGAAGTTATGGTCAATTTTGTTTCACTGATACTCTTACCCACATCCTCCACCCACATTTTATTTTGAAGAAAATCTCAGTCATTATATAATTTAGTTTATAGTTCCCTAGGTATCTTCAAAATTGTACATACTATTTGTGTACCCATAAGAATATATCTCTCAGATAAATTCCAAAATGTGGATTTTCTGGGACAAAGTAGAACTGAATTTTACATTATATTAGATAATGCCCACTTGTTCTCCACAAAAATTGTGACTTTATCTCCCCACAACAGTAAATCAAAGCATGTTTCCCTGTATCCTCATCAAAACAGCATATTGCCAAAACTTTTAATCTTTACCTTTATGTGAAATTTTTTTATTTGATATTGGATATTTTCTTGTACATTTAAAAATTATTCATGTTTTTTCCCCAGAAACCTGTATATCTATCTTGTCTATCTGTCTCTGAGTTGACTTTTTTCTTATGGATTCTTTTCGTAATATGTAATTAGACCTTTTTTGATCACATTTATCAGACTCTAATTTTATGACTTTTGGAGTTTATATTCTGTCCGGAAAATTTCTCTCTACTCCAAATTTAATTTTTTCTCTCTCATGTTTTCTTCTAGTATTTTTTTACATGTAAATGTTTGCTCTATTTAGAATTTATTTTGATATAAGGATGTCAAAAGTATTCAGTTTTCACATATCTAGACTAGTAGGAGACAGAAGTTTTCCTTCTGTAATTCTCTTCACATGTCTAGACTAGTAGGAGACAGAAGTTTTCCTTCTGTAATTAGAAAGCAGGTATAGTTGCAAAATCAGATATCCTGGAAGAGATCATCTGTGCCCAGGATAAATAATCAGTCTTAGATACTTTGTAGATTTCAAGTTTTGTACAGGGAATGGGTGATGAGAATGAGGGCAAAAAGGAAAGGAAGGGAAGCAGAAATAAGATGGAGTGTCTCAAAGAAAGGTTAACTTTTCCTAATTCACAATTTACAAGCGCAGTGAAAACCCTAGTGAGCACCCCAGGATGTGCCAGGCTTCGTGTGCAGACAGGGATTCAGTGGCGGCCAATCAGACAAGGATCCACTTCCGGAAGTCTGGTGAGCTGACACCATCTTCTTATGTTGTCACCTCAGGACCTCCTCACTAGGATGGGGTGGAACTCTGGACCACAACGCCTTGGGCCGAAAGGCCTCTGCCAAAGCCACGTGGTCAAGTTAGCAAAGCCGAATCAGAGAGGTCTCGGAAAGCAGAGTCAGCCGCTCTTTCTGCTCGCGGCGTGCACACGGTGCCACGCAGTGATACAAGAAGGGCGTCAGGGACCAGACCTGACCTCTCAGCCTCAAGCCCGGGACCTCCAGGGAACCTCCAAGTTTGAGACTGGCGGGTCCTCACCTCAGGCGCTCGACTCGGGGCAGGGCGGTGCTAGACCAGAGCCCGCGGAGTTCGAACTGGAGGCGGGCACTGCTGCGGGCGGGGCGGGGCCAGACAGTCCCGGGGCGGGGCCGAAAGCCAGGGGGGGGGGCTCCCCTACCCGGCCAAGAAGGGCGTCAGGGACCAGACCTGACCTCTCAGCCTCAAGCCCGGGACCTCCAGGGAACCTCCAAGTTTGAGACTGGCGGGTCCTCACCTCAGGCGCTCGACTCGGGGCAGGGCGGTGCTAGACCAGAGCCCGCGGAGTTCGAACTGGAGGCGGGCACTGCTGCGGGCGGGGCGGGGCCAGACAGTCCCGGGGCGGGGCCGAAAGCCAGGGGCGGGGTCTCCAGCATCTCTGGCACCGCCCCCGCACCTACTTCCCTGGTCCCCGTGCCGCGCGCGCCCCCGCGTGGCCAGCCCAGCCATTTGCTGGGTCCTGGAGGGAGGCGGCGGCCGCGTAGTCTTTCCTGCCCCTTGTCCGCCTCTTCTTCCTGCTCGCGGCCCGCCCGCCGGCTCGCACCCAGCCGCAGCGGCGTGGACGGAGGATACGACTGGGACGGCGCCGGGAGCCGAGGTGCTGAGGGACGGTGGCCGACTTAGGAGAGATGCTGGGCGTGGCGGCAGGAATGACCAACAGGTAAGGGCCGTGTTCCCGCCCCGGCCGCCGGGCGCTGAGCACCCGCCACGTTGGCGGCGGGCGGCTCCCTGGGCCTTCTCGCGGGCCTGGGCGACGGCCTTTCTCCCCGCGCCCCTTCCGGCGGCGCCTGGCCCGTAGCGGGACGGTGCGCGCTGCTCTCCCGGCCACGCTTCCGCACTTCCCCCAGGCGCGCTCTGCAGTCCAGGGGCTGGTTTGCGGTTCCTAAGAGATAATTTAATAGTTTTCGTGGATGTTACCGATATGTTGTAAGCGCTTTGATTGCCAATACTGCCTCAGTTCTTAGCAAAGGATTCAACAACAAATATTTGTTGAGTGAATAACTTCCCTTCTAGTAGTTAGAATATAATATAGACCAGCGGTTCTCGAATGTCTTGGACTTAGCACCCATTTTAAAAATAGAAAAGAACTTTCGCTTATGACTTTATGCCTATAGGTATTACTGTATTAGAAATGAATTTAAAAATATTTATTAATTTAAAAAACAATTACTGTGTTAATGTTAATATACACGTTAGTGTATTCCTAAACAAAAAATTTCGTGAGATGAGTGGCATTCTTTTAAATTTTGCGAATCTCTTAAATGTCTGCCATGGTAAGAGACAACTGGATTTTCCTATCTCCTTCGCCTTCAGTTTATTGTTATATTTTGTTTGAATTATGTGAAGAAGCTCTGATCTTACACACAGATGCGTAATTGGAAAAGGGAGGTATTTTAATAGCTTTTTCAGATAATTATGGGTATTCTTTGTTGCTGCACCAAAACTAGATAAGTGGTAGTTTCTTAAAGATTAGTTTGGATGTGTACTCTGAGCCTTAACAATGAAGCTTTTTACACTCTGTTACATTAAAATTCATTGGTTTATTCTGCAGTTTGAATGAACTTGTTACTCATTGTAACATCTTATGTGTGTCATTTTTGAAAATATTGATTCACCAAGTTAGGCGTATCTTCCAAATGCTGACACATTTCATTGTACAATATCATCAGATAACATTTGTGAATATCACCACTGACTTTTTCTTTCGAAAAGTCTTTAAGTTTTGAGAAACTGTCAAACTTAAGGTGGTGGATACATCTTTTCCAATTTTCTAATTTTCAGTTGAAGGCTTGATTTTGGTAGACAACTATTATCAATTGTTATTTCTCAAAGCGATAGGCTCATTTTGTTTAGTTTCAAGAAATGTCTGCCACATACAAGTCTAAAAACCATGGTTTGTTTGTCTGTTATTGTATCCATTAAAAATGGTATGAAAAAAGGCATTTAATTCATCTCATCGCTCAGGCACACATCTCATCACATCAGGCTTTTCCTCCAGATAACCATCTTACCTTGGTATGTAGCAGAAGTTCTTTATGCATATCTCATTTTTCATTGCAAATAACAAAAAAGAAGGTCAAGGGTCAAGATTTAATAACATTCATAATTTGTACTGCTTCATCAAGGACATTTTTTCGTTTTTAAAAATATTGAATATTGGTACAAAATTTAAAATATAGGTAAGATATGAAGAATAGTGATAGAATGGATATAATGTATAAGTAAAGAATATAACAATTTACTTTTAAGATCCTTAACCTTCCCCCCTGCCTCCCCGCCCCATCTACTGTCTCTCCTTGATCCCATCCTTTTTCCACCCTGAACTTTCCACTGTCCATCTTCAGAACTCTTCATCTTGTGGAACTGAAACTCTTTATACTTTAAAAAATAACTCCTCATTCCCCCTCCCCATAGCCCTTGGTAACCCCCACTCTATTTCGTGTCTCTGATTTTGACTATTTTAGTTACCCCATATAAGTAGAGTCATATAGTATTTGGCTCTTTGTGACTGGCTTATTTCACTTAGCATAGTGTCTTCTGGGTTCATGCATGTTCCAGCATGTGTCAGAATTTCCCTCCTTTTTAAAGCTGAATAGTATTCCCTTGTGTGTATATATGATTCATTTGTTTTATTTATCCATCCTTTGATGAACACTTGCTTCCACTTTTAACTATTGTGAATAATGTTATGAACATAGGCGTATATTCTTTAATTGAAATTTTTATTGATGTAATTGTAGATTCACATGCAGTTCTAAAAAATAATACAGAGAGATCCAATGAATCCTTTACCCAGTTTCCCCCAGTGATAACATTTTGCAAAATTGTAATGCACTATTGGCAATCATATTGACAGTAATACAATCATCAGTCTTATTCAGATTTCCCCAGTTTCACTTGTCGTTTGTATGTGTGTGTGTGTGTGTTGTTATCACAAGCATAGGTGCACATATCTACTACCACAGTCAAAATATAGAACAGTTAATTCCATCTCTACAAGGTCCCTTATGTTGCCATTTTATACCCATATCCACCTCCATGTTTTCCTTCTCCTCCCTAAGTCCTGAAAACCACTCATCTGTTTAACATTTCTAAATTGTCTTCAGAAATGTTATATAAGTGGAATCATACAGTAGACACCTTTGGGATTGCCTGTCTTTTACTCAGCTTAATTCCCTGGAGATTTATCCAGTTTGTTGTGTATACATTGTTTTTTTTTTTCCTTTTTATTGCTGAATAGTACTCCATAGTATGGGTATATGACAGTTTTAACTATTTACTTGTCGAAGAACATTTGGGCTATTTCCAGTTTGGGCTATTAATAATAACGCTACTATAAACATTTGTGGACAGGGTTTTATGTAAACATAAGTTTTCTTTTATCTGGGATAAATGTCCAAGAGTGCAATTGCCATGTTGTGTGACAGAATTTTCCAGAGTGGCTGTACCATTTTCATTAAAGACCTTAAGAGAGAGAAATTAGCATTCTTTTTTTCCAAGTACATAAAGAATTGGTTACATTACCACTGCCTTCGTTAGTGCTAAGAGACCAGCAGTGGTACCCACTATTTGCTTTTTTTTTTCCCCCTCTTTAATTCCCCGCCCCTGCACATTCACCCCTGACCTATGGATGTTGCCATCTCCCTTTTTTTTAAGAACTGGATCTCTGAAGGCGGGGTGTCTACCCCCCACCTCCCGCCCCGCCCCCCTGCACTCGCAGCGTGCACCTGGGGCCTGGCTCTCCCAGTTCACCCCAGGGGCTCGGCGCACCCTGGGTATGGTCCGTGGCTCCACCTCGGGCGCGAACCCAGGATCTTCTGTGCATAAAGCAGACCTGCTAACCACTATACTATGGAGCCACCCCCCCCACTATTTGCTTTTGCACGATCAGTGAAAGTGTTAACACAGTGCAAAAGGCTATAGTAACTTTTTAGGAACTTCTTAGCATTATTATAAAAATAGTTTTGATCTCCCAGACCTCTTGAAAAGGTTTGGGAGACCATTTCTTCCTACCAGGGTTTTGAGATCACACTTTGAGAACTACTGTTAATGACAGAATCCTAAATGATGAGGGAAGTACAGATATTTTAGATATTTAAAAAGGAATATAGACAAGTTTTCTTTTAAAAAATATGTACTGAACATGTGTTGTAGTGTGTGCTTTCTAGTTTTGGGGAGTTTTAGTGGGACTTAATAACTAAGCCTTGAAGAACCACTATGGAAACAGCAACTTGCCACCTTGAGAATTTTCCGATACAGTGGCCTCTGTTGTTATGAAGAGGGGAGATGTCATGACATCGAGTGTCTTCATACAGCTTCAGTGCTCTGTGCGCCCTTTGGGAGCACATATGCCAAAATTGGAATGGTACAGAGAAAATGGTCCTATATGCAAGGATAACACGTAAGTTCGTGAAGCGTTTCATATTTAAAACAAACAAACAAACAAAAAAACCCTTCAGTGCTCTATGCCTGTTAGTATGGTGAGGAAATTGAGCTTATATTTTGAGAATATTAATGAAAATTTTGTGGTAGGAAAGATACTTTTCAGTTCTGGTTGTTCTGTGCCCTGTAGATTTAGAGAGAACTATCAGGACTGTGTTGTCTTGAATTTTTTTTTTTTTTTTTTTTTAAGATCATTCCCATCCCTCTGGTAGCCCCTTGAAACATCTCCTGGACAGCTCTTTTTCTTGTTAAATGCGGGTACAGTGATTGGTAGTGTGTGAGCAGAGCTTTACTCTGAGAATCTCTATTTTTAATAATGTGTTTGTTCTTTGGATAATCATTTAAATAAACCTCAGTAGAGGTCATGTTCTTAGCTAGGGTTGCACATAAATAGAAGGAAAAACATCTCAAACCACTTGTTGATTTTACATTTCTCGTAATTATGTTTTAAGCTGTGATTTCCCACCCACAGGAATATCATGTGCATTACATGCTGGACTGTTGCCATGTTGTCGTCCAAAAACTTTAATTTTAAGATGCTTGAGAGGCTAGAGCTGCACTACCTACTGCCACGTACTGTGTGTTCTCCAACAGCAATGGTTTCATCCCCCCTCATGCCAACATCAGCTCATCTCTTTCATTTGATCTCATCAGACATTCCCACACTGGAGCTCATTGGGAACATATTCTGCATTTTTTTTTTTCCATGTTGGAGCATATTTTGGAGCTTCATGAGTCTATAATGACATTTAACATAGGGGTTGGGAAGCTGCAGGTAAACCAAGTTATGAATAGTGTGTTCTGTGTAAGGTAGGAAAAAGGTGCTAGGCATTGAGTTTGAATGCCAGCAGATGAGGGTGGGAGGTACAGGTCTCACCATTAGCATGCATAGAAGTCTGGAGACTTCTATGCTTGAGAGTCAGGCAAGGTAAAGGATAAAAAACATTTGCAAGAAATATTTATATATACACACACATTCTCTTTGTACAGAAATGGAATCATAGTCATACTGTTCTGCAATTGCTTTTTTTCTCTAGGATTTTAAAAATTGTGGTAAAATATATGTAACATAAAATTTACCATCTTCTACAGTGGGCATTAAGTACATTTATGTTGTTGTGCAACCGTCACTGCCATCCATCTCCAGAACATTTTCATCATCCCAAACTGAAACTCTGCCCGGTACACAATAATTACCCATCTCCGGCAGTTGTTTATTTAGCTTAATAAGGCATCTTAGAGTTTTTCTTATGTGACGTATCTGGATTTCCACTTTATGTTTTCTAACCTTAGTTTTCATGGTTGCATAGTCTTTCACAGTATACATGTGATATAATTGATATAACCAGTCTTTGATAGACATTTGGGTTCCAGTTTTTTGTTATTACAGATGCTGTGAATGTCTGTGCTGGTGTTTCTGTAGGCGACCCATGAGTGTACAGTGGATGTGTGCATGGATGGTTGGACCTATTTTCTGATCCCAACTCTGTCCCTTCATAGCTCTGTGGCCTTGCCCAGTCAATCTCTTTAAGGCTCAGTTTCTTAATTTATAAAGTAATACCTATCTCAGAGTTGTGAAAATTAAAAATGAGGGCAACTTATAAATATTTCTGAAAGGATACAGATGGAATTGTTAATAATTGTTGCCCCTGAAGAAGGAGTTTAAAAATCTAGAATGAGAAGGAAATATTTTTTTGTTATGCCTTTTTATACTGTTTTGATTTTTTTAAACCATGCGCATGTAATAATTTTTAAAGAATTTAACATCATGCCAGGAACCTAGTAGATGTTCTGATAATGGTAACTGTAGTTGTTAATGTTGATTTTTTTCCACCACTCTGGTTCTTTTCCCCAAACTTAGAACTTCTGACTTTATTATGTCTGTTAATGACACTGACATAGTGAATTTTGAGTTCATCTTCTTCACTGCCTATACTCAATTTCTTGCTGAGTTTTCTTACCTTAGAATTTTCTTTCGAATCATCTCTCTTTATTACTCCTTTTTTACTGACTTCATTTTCACTCTCATTCCAATTATCTTTTCAAATGAATATAAGATAATATTAAGGCTGGGAAAAATTTTAGTGAATGCAAAATAAAATCCCAGTGCATATTAGACATTTGAGGTAGAACAAATAATTTTTGGTATGTTCCTATTTTTCATTTAAGTGTTGATAAAAGTACAGGTTCTTTTAAAGGGATTATGGAATTTGTTCTAATATTTATATATGTATTATCTTTTAACATATACTGAAAAGACAATTACAGTAATATGAAGAGCTAAGAAATTTGGACCTTGTTGTCCCATATAGAATCTGCATTACTCATATAGTAAGGAAGAGAGAGAAAATGGACACTGGCTAGGAAATTGCTGCCTTTGCCACAGCTGGTTGTTCCTCCTCGATGCAATAGATTCAACACATATATATAAAATACGTATATATGTATTTATATATATCTCTCAAATAAATATAAATATTTACATAAATATATATATATCACAGTGCAAGTACAGCAGTGAAAATTCAGAAGGTGAATAAAACATGTCCCAAGCTCTTGAGAAACTTTCAGTTTAAGTGTTCTATTATTCATGTTGGTTTCAGATTCTCCTAAAGCACCATTTTGGTCATATTACCTCTCTTTTCAAAATATTAAGATGACTTCTAATTGCCTATCACATAAGGTCCAAACACCAGAGCCTAGAATTTAAGACTGTTTGCAGTCTGGCCCCAGCCTGTCTTTATAGCCTATCACACACTGTTATCTTAATTTTTGTTTCACTAAACTCTAACCCACTTACCATTTTCCGAAAATACCTGGTGCTTTCCCATGTCAGTGCTTTTGCTTATGCTGTTCTCTTGGCTAGAAAAATATCTTCTGTGTCTTCTCTCCATTTGGGGCAAAATGCCACTTCTTCCATGAAATAATGAATTCCTGAAATGTTTATTGAGCTAAGGGAATTAAGAATTCAGAGCTTGCTTTGTTCTCTCAAAGCATTTTGACTTTTTTTTTTGTATTATCAACTTTTGTTTTGTATTATAATTATTTGTATATATGTCTAATCTTTTCTGTCACAATCTTTTCTTGTAATCCCTAGAAGTAAAGGAATATCTAAATCACATTTGTTAAACGTCCAAAGAAAAACAAACTGGATTTAAATGAGCTTTATTTCTCCTTTTATTCTTTCATTTGTTAGCAAATTGAAAAGTCCAGAGCTGGCTCTACTTAGCGCCTGTGACATTGTTTGAATAAACTCACAAAACGTTGAGTAAGACAAGATAGCTTTCACATATGGTATAACTTAACTCTACAGTGTGTTATATACTAGTGGCAGAAACTCAACATCCACAGAACACTGGGAAGAAATTCAGATAAAGTTTAGTCATCCCTCTGCAGATTATTTCATTTCACTGCCAAGCCATTCATTTGAAATCTTTCTTGGTATTAACAACCCTTTACGAATTACCTACTTTGACAAAAAATACTTTAAAGTTGTGAAACATCTATATAGCAAACCTAACTTACCTTCACTGCTGTACCACGAAGTAGGGTTTTTAACGCCCGTTTTACAGCTGGGGAAACTGAGCTCAAGAAGATAAGAACTCACAAAGCACATAGTGACAGAGTTGGTGTTCACACTGAAGTGCCCTACAGAGACCTGTGTCTCCTCAGTTGACTTTACCGTTCAAGGAAAGTTCACCGCTCCCTACTTCTTTTCTTAGGTTTCAGGCTTACTCTGCACATGCCCAACCAACCTATTTAGTTTACTCCCCACTACACTTTCTTTAGCTTACATCATCTTGTTGCCGAGACATACCATAGGCCTTTCTGAACATAGCTTTTCTTTTTATTTTTGTTGGGGGAGGCGGGAAGGCGTAGATGGTCTGAAATCTTACTCTCAAAGCTCAGTTTAAACTCTTTTGTCTCGAAGATGGCTTCCCTGACTGCTTCAACCTCTATTAGTGTTTTCTTTCCTGACCTTACAGAGCAAGGGTCCCCAAACCCTGGGCCATGGACCGGTACTGGTCCATGGCCTGTGAGGAACCAGGCTGCACAACAGGAGATGAGCGTTGAGCCAGTGAGCAAAGCTTCATCTGTATTTGCAGCCGCTCCCCAGCACCAGCACCACCACCTCAGCTCCACCTCAGATCACCAGACATTAGATTCTCGTAGACCACTGGTCCCTAGTGCCAAAAAGATTGAGGACCGCCATTCTAGAGAACATATCAAATAAGATTAACCAACCAGGCTGCACAACAGGAGATGAGCGTTGAGCCAGTGAGCAAAGCTTCATCTGTATTTGCAGCCGCTCCCCAGCACCAGCACCACCACCTCAGCTCCACCTCAGATCACCAGACATTAGATTCTCGTAGACCACTGGTCCCTAGTGCCAAAAAGATTGAGGACCGCCATTCTAGAGAACATATCAAATAAGATTAAATTCTTTACTTAAATTTAGTCTATATGTACTTGGTTATAACATACAAACTTCTGCTATTTTCATTTTGAAATCTTGGCTATGCTTGCATATGCTAAAGTAATATTTACAAATTTGAGGACATATGTTCCAATCCAGTGTGTGTCCATTGCATAGACTGTACTGTGCTGTGGACCATGGATCATAGAATTACAATACAGTGAGGGATCGTACATGGTCTATCTTGTATTATAACTTCGTGTGTTAGTACCACACAAACAAGTCTTCTAGAAATTTAAAGGCAGAAATTATCACTTGTCACCAGTTATTTCGTATTTATTGTTATTTATTTAAGACATGAAAACCTGTTAAATGTTTGTTGTTCTCTCTCACGAGGTAAAGATGTATCAATCATGGAACTGTTCAACTAGAGGCCTGATTTATTTGGAATGTTGTAGGGGACCTGATGAGCAACAGGGTGGTGAGTTCTCTGGGTTTTCTTTTTACCTTATATAACCTAGACTTGAAGCTGAAGAATTTGGCAGTCTGGAAATGCCAACAAGTGCAGAC